AGTTTACTTAAAATAATCTTTTATAAAATTAAATATAAAAAATTTTACCATTGAGTTTATATATAATTTCAATATATTACCCTTTACCTTTAAGTGATCTGTAATTTTTTATTTAGTTTTTGTTTTTTAATTAACTCTATTTTCAATTCTTTTATTTGTTCTAGTCCTATTAGCTTTCTTTCATCTCTTTTCCAATTTTCTGTTGTTCTGTTGTTTATTATTTGTTTAGTCTTGTATTAATATTGTTACTGCTTTTTTGATTATTGTTTATAAAATCACTTTTATATTATGATCTTATCTTATTAATCTCTTCTATTTGTCTATTGTCTATTCTGACTTGTTTTCACAATCTTTGCATTTATTTATTTTTGTAATTATTTTTCTTTTTTTTTCTACATTAACTAATAGTTTGCTATAACTTTTTTCTTGATTATTTTGTTAAATTGTTATTTGTATTTTGACTTATATATGATCTATTTATATTTTCTTTAATTTTCTAATAATTTTGTTTATTTAATTTTTAATGTCTATGTGTTGTAGCTATTTGCTTTATAATTATTATAGATTTCTTTATTAGTTTGTATTACTAGCATTTTATTTTCTATTTTACTAAACTATTTGTCTTTTTTCTCTTTTATAACAGCTCATAATGTTATTTGAGTTGTTTTTATATAATTAGGTTTTTACCTTTTTGATCTATAAGCTGGTTTAAATATAACAACTCTTATTTATTCATTATTCTACTACTTGTTGTTCATGTTTTTGTTTTTATTATATCTCTTATTTTCATTTTATATCTGTATACTTTCTACAGACTATTTTTTATTTTAATAATTATATCTATTTTTTGCTTTAGCTATTGTATAACAGACTAAGTTGTTTTTCCAATATTTTTTTTCTTTTAGTTTTCTTTTATAATTTCAAATATTATCTATTAACTCTATATTTTAATATTTTTATACTATTCTGAATCTTATCAGTTTGTCTAAATTATCTTTTTTATTAAGTTTCAAAAAGACATTATTTATTTGTTTTGTCATTATTTTTTAGTCTAGTGATTTACAATTATCTAGAACTTTATGCTCTGTTATGCAATTGTTTAATATTTTTATTATATTATATTTATGTTTTTTGCTAGATATATTAATAATTGGTATATTTTGTTAATCATTCTTTCTAACATCTTTATTAGTTATAAAAGATATTCTAATTTTAGAATTATTATTGTACTATTTATATATACAATCTAATTTATTAATATTTTTTGTATTTTAAATCTTTAACTATTTGACCAACTATTTTTTTTATCTTTTTATAGACTAATAACTCTTTTATTCTATTATTTTGACAAATTTCCAATGATTTTATAATCTTATTTTTTAGTTCTTTTATTATTTTACTTTGATTAAAAATATTTTTTTTTCTTTTGTTTTAAGTCTAGTGTTTATAACTATTAGCTTTATTTAGACCTATTTATTTTAATATTATTGGCTTTAAAGAACTCTTCTGTGATTTTGAGAATTTTTAATAATTACTTTTTGTTATTTGCAATCTATATTGTATCATCTACATATGCAATTGCTGTCTGTCTATATCTTGTTGTATTGTTATTGCAAATTCTTTCTGTTATTTTCTACTCAACTCTGTAATCTAGTGTTTTATCTTCTTGAATTCTTTCTAATAATAAATCATAGAAGAAATATCAGATTAGAAGTGTAATTACTTTTTTTTGATCTATTTCATCATCTGCAGTTATTTTTTCTATTAAACTATAAACTTTGATAAGTTTTAATTATTATTTACAAAAAAGATTGAATATATATTCTCTTATTTTTTGTGATATTTTGACTTTTTTAAGAACTCATTTTAGGCTTTTAATAGGACTAAATCAAAAACCTTCTTTATATCTTGTAAGAATATTCACATTTCTTTATTTTTCTTTTGTACTTTTTCTATTATCATATTCAATATAAATATGCACCGATGTTAAATGATAAATATTATTATATATGAGTGATGTGAAATTCTATATTTATTAACTTATTTATATATACATATTGTATTTTTACATAATAATATGCATGTGTGTAATTTTAAAATCTTGACTTTTTTTAATAATTGTCAATTTAACTCAAAATAATACCTATGCATGTTCTGAAATAATGCATCCCCTCCCTTCAAATTAGAGTATACCCATTATAATTTTTTATTTAACAAAAATTTACTAAATGATTTGTATTATCGTATTGTGTATGTGTGTTTTGAAATAAATCACAGATACTTGAAATAATACACATATACTTGCTGGCAAAACCCGGACAAATCCCAAACCTCAAAAAAACAAATTGCTTTTATAAAAAATTAAATCAACAAAAATAATTTTGATATTTTGTAAATATATTATATATAGCTATAAGAATATAAATTATTTGGTTAAATAAAGATTATTAATAAAGTTTTTGAGATATTAATTTGGGCTTGAGTTTGGGATTTGGGTGCGGACAAACCCAAACTATAATAGTTTGAGATTTGGGCGGCAAGTATAAATACACACCTGTGTGTTATTACGCGAAAATATGGTACTAAAATGCTACTTACATTTTTTATCGTTACAATTATATATATGTAATATGTATGAATAAAACTTTATTTTTCACAAAACTTTTTTTCTGATAATTACGAATACATACAGTATATTATACGTTTTTTATATCCAAGCTGTTTGTAATGAGACATAAAGTTTGGGACCATTTTACAAATATTGAACCAATTTTAGGTTATAAACAACCACGAGCTAAATGTAATTATTGTGAAAGTTTATGTAATTAAATATTTCGAGATGCGAAGGAAATTTACAAATTTGTAAAGAAATAGATTCAGAAATTAAACAATAATATTTTAGTTATAGTTATCTAGCTCTCAACAAATATGAGCCGGAATTTTTAATAGATTCTGAAATATTCTGAAACTCAAAGTATTCCCATGCGCATGAAATTCGAAAAAAATAGAATTTTGCATATCACTAATTACACAGCAGCATGATTGAATTACTTTAAATAAAAAAAGTCTAAATTTCCTTCATCTAACTGTCTAAATAGAACTTATGCATTAAATAAATTAGTAGAAATAAGATCTACACATGAGTGCCGCAGAGCGAAAAGCTGGAAGTGAATATTTAAGTTTTTATTATGGCAAGTTTAGCCCATTTAGTCTTGTGAATTTTGATGCTACGTAATTAATCATGTATATATTGTCACTGAACTATCAAAGCATTGTTTATCAGTACGTAATATCAAAGTGCTTCAGGAACTAAATTCGTCATGATGAGAACTTAAATAGTCAATTCCAGCTCTTCTCTCTGCAGCACTCATATGCTATAATAAATTCTAACTTTAATACCTTAAAGTTCCATATTCACAATTTATTTAGACTTTCTCTTTAAAAGTAAAGTTGCTACACAAGATTGTAATATTTAGCATTAATCCTGGGCAGTACAAATTGGGATGCGAATTCCATCACATGGCTTTAGTTGTCACAAATAACTTTGGTTACCAAAATAATTTAGGTAACATCAAAACTGATTTTACTGCAAAACTATATATTTGATTTCATTTACTTAAGTAGGGTAGAGATATCCTGAACACAACTTTAGCATAATTGAATATTATGATAACAGTTATTTTTTACTTATATTTTTTTAATAATTAATAGTGTAAATGCATTCATTCCTCCACCAAGAGCAGAACCAGCTACTATTCTCATTAATAATAAGATTTATTTTTATAGTGGAGATAATGCATTTGCTTTTCTTTCCGACTTTTTTTATCTTGATGTTTCAATTCAATTTACAATAAACGACATAGGGTCAATGCCCCGGGTTAATCTTACCCCAACTACAGGTTTGCCATCAAGAACTGGCTCAACTGCCTGTACCTATGGTGAAGATAAAAATCGAATTGTTTATATTGGCGGCAGGTTCATTGTAGGAGATAATTTCACCACAGTTTATGATATTACAACACAACAATGGAGCACACCAAAAGTGTCGGAAAATTTTACAGTAAATAGATGGCTTTTACAATGTGTTGTTTCAGGAAATGATATATATGTTTATGGAGGAAATATAGGTCAAACAAATATGACTAGATTAGATACGTTGAGTTTAACTTGGACAGAATTTTCTTCAGGAATATTAGCTCCTGTTGGTGTTCAAGATTATACTGCTATACTTTTAAATAATGAGTCTATATTATATATTGGAGGTCAACAAGGTGGAGATGTTACAACACTTTCTTACCCTTTACTCGATCAGGTTTGATTGATGATATAAAATTATTAATACACTCTAATTTCTTACTAATGTTGATTTTATTAATATTAATTCAAATAGCTATCAATATATAATTTGAATAATAACTCTTGGAGTGTGATTGTAAGTTATTTTGATTTAATAACTTTAGATTATATAAATACAATATGATTTAAATGATGGTTTTACTTATTTATTTCGTATTAGACTACATCAGGAAATATTCCTCAATCAAGATATGATCATGGGGCAGTCTTTATATGCAAGTATACTCTTCTCTAAATGTTCTTTTTTTTACATGAATGATTTCTGAATCGCACTTAAAAAAAAAAAATGAAACTCAGTAAAAGGCGATAGGCTTATATTTTGTTCTAGACTATAATAAATATTTTTTCTTTTTTTTTATATATTTAGCACAATTTAATCAAGTTTTAATTCTTTATGGATATCCCAACTCTAATTCCCCAATTGTGGCACTTGATATCAATCAATTTAAATGGTCAACTCCTACAATTTCAAACGGTGGACCAAACTTTACTTTAAGACGTTTTACTTCAATACTAATTGGAACCTATATTTTTATTGCGTTCGGAGCATCCGGTAAGCGCATTAATAATATAATACTTAATTTTAATATAAATTTTTCTAAGAATTAACTTCAACTTTAGATATAAATGGAATTAATAGCACAAATAATGTTTTTCTTCTTGACGTAAGTAAAAAAGATAATTATGTATGGGTCACATTATATGATCCTACAAAAAAATTTACTTTAACTTCAACTTTGATGCCATCGATGACTTTTAATGCATCATCATCTGGTACACAATCTAATACACCATCTAATGCTGGTACAATTATTGGTATTGCATTTGGAGCAATTGCAGGGCTAATAATATTAATGACTGCCGCAGTTCTTATTGTTAAAAGATATGGTCATCCTCTTTATTATTCTGATCCACAAAGGTCAAGTGATAAGCCAAATAACAAAGTCATTGGTAGTCAATCTCTTTATTATTCTGATCCAAGTGATAAGCCAAATAACGAAGTCATTGGATAAAAGTTGTTTCAATATTTTTGATGTAAAATACAGAAATAGCATGTGTAAATTATTATACTTCTAAGTAAATGCTTAATATTTAATGAACAACCAAAATGTTTAAAATAAGCAAATATTAATATTTATTAAGTAAAATTAATTGTGCAATGGTTCAGGTAATACTGTTCAAGATCGTTTCATGGTTTTTGCTTTAGCAGACTTTATATTAAAACTACTGTTAGAATATATTTATTGTTACATGTTTTCTTAATTGACCATCGTGGTTATCATTGTGAAAAGGGTGTGAATTGTACAAAAATGATCGAATATATGTATTTTGGCCAGTAATTTTTTTCGAATCAGTTTGTACTATGTTTCTTTTCTATATTTTCTTTTTTTTTCTATATTATATAATTTATATTAAAGTTTTATTTCTTAATAGAAATGAATTATCTATAAAAAAAAAGGTGTCATTAGAGTGAAATCGTATTCGCTGAATTGAAATTTGCTGTTTTTTAAGCAGAGATAGTAATTGAATATCTACTTCAGAACTGGAAGCGACTAGTTAAATATTAAAAATATAATAAAATTGAATTGTATGATTGTCTGATTGTCTTCTGAGTTATGAATTCTTATGAACTGTCATGAAACCGTTTATGAAAACATGATTAAATAAAACATTTTATTTGTATTTGATTGGTTAATTGTATTGATATAGTGACGCATTCGTTTTGGTTATGCATCACTTAATTTTTAATAATCCATAAAGTCTAAGAAGGTTGAAAACTTTTTTTAATAATCAAATCGAAGGTTATCGAGTCAGAATTATTGGTTGTTTAACATCAACCAACTTCATCGGCAATTTTTTCTATTATCCTAAGATTTATAAAAACAACCGTAATACGTTATTATGTAAAAAAAACAATATATATATAGAATAAAAGTTGAAACGAGGACTTTATTTACATATTTTTATTGTGTTTCATTTAAAAAGAAGTAAATTTAATTTTAATCTCAGTAAAAACATTATATTAACAAAAATTAGTAACGTGATGTTATCATTATTGAAACTGCCACCGCATGTGCAAAATTTTTTTTTAAAAAAACAGAATTAGAGAATTTAACCTGAATTTAAAAAATAAATAAAGCCATTTTTTTATTTTTTTTTAAAAAAAAAAAAAATGCAAAAAGAATGAAAAACCATTTTTTTGCAAAATTAAATAAAAAATCAACAGCCTAAAAATATTTTAAAAAAGTATTATCACGTCTGCAGGCAAGACCATTGCAAATTATTATTCTAAATGACTTTACATAAAACAAACTTCGATTTATAAACCTCAAAACCTTCCTAGTATACCCTAAAAAAAGTTACGAAACTGAGTTTAAATTTTTTTCCGAATAACAAAATCCGATATTCCAAATAAAATTAGCGATGGGACTACGGGGTTAGAAATAGGTGACACTTAATTGTCGCATTAAATAATTTATTAAGGATCGAGTTTTTTAAAATAAATCACAGCGTATGGCGTTCTTAATTTCTAAGCCATCACTATATATAATTCTTTCGCTTCAGCAAATAGTACTGAAAATATATATACTTAAACTAGACCTTTGATGTCAATTTTGGTTAATTTAGTTATACGTATATACATACTGATTAAAAACGCTCCAGAGACTATTCTGGCTTATGCATAACAGCTTTTGCTGCATTAATATCAATTCTTTCAATTAAATAATTAATTCAAGTGAATCTTAATATAAGAAAGTTGCCTGGTCCAGTCATAATCAAATATCGATATTTTCTTATATTGAAGGTTTGTTATTATAAATTCTTAATTAGGATTTATAAATTCTTATATCAAAAGTTTCTTCTATCGAGAGTCACTTGTATTTGTAAATATACACTATTTAATAACTGTAATGACTATGCTACAACTATTTATCACTATCACATCATTTGTGTTTGTAAAAAAAAAAACAACATAATGTTTAGTGGCATTTTTCTTATATATAAAAATATCGTTTCCTAAGTAATTTGCAATTATCAAATATACAGTATATACTGTGAGCCCGATTTTTGTAAGTCACGAGGGCCCGAATCGAGCGACGATCCTTACCCGATTCGAAGTCACGTGAAAAG